AATCAGGTTGCCAACCTTCCCTCTCAAAAGGCAACCTGAAAACAGTTTTGCTAGCGTTTTTTTTAAGAATTTACTTTTGTGATGAACACCACAATTAATAAACCAAAATAAGTTGAGGACAATTACTCTCTCTACACAGAAGTCTGAACACTGCATAAATGAACAGGACAAGAAGTCCTAGGGAACTTGCCTGTGGACTGTGTAATGCAGGATTCCCACAGCAAAAGACACTATAATTAAATTTTCAATGCATATGTGACGAGGGTGTAGCAACACAGCCGAATTCCAAAACTCATTTAATCAAAATTGCATTAAAAATATTATTAGGAAAACATCCTCCATTTCTGTGACTTACAGAGAAGCGCTGAGCACAGCTAACATTTATTTCTGAACATTAAGGACAAAAGAATTCATCCTGCACCAGCTACTAGCACAACTGGTATAAGTGAACATTTTGCTGATGTTGCACATGACTCAGAGCATGTCTCATACCTGACTAGCTGCACTGTACCTGAATAAATATGTTTTTGCTTGCTCTCAGTTCAATCCAAACTAAGGAGCAGGAAAGATCCTTCCAGTTCAGGGATATCACTAGAGGATGAATGAAAGGTAGTCTGCCAAGAACCATTATTGACCACCCTAAATTATTTTTGTTTTCAGAAGCAGTTACACGTTTTTCTACTTTTTGACCACATAAAAAGATACAACTTCATGAGAAATAGCATTTCAAAATTCTTTTTTTTCTGTTAAACACAGTTCTTTCCTAGACCATTAAGGGGTGTCTTTAAGCCTCAAGCACTCATTCTGTAGTTTGAGAACCGTAAGAAATCTGTTCTGTACTGCCTGTCTAAATTAGTACAGCCTGTTACAGAACATAAAAACGTTAAGTACTAAGTGCAATATCTTTAAATGCCAGCAGCTACAGTGTCCTGTTCTATTACTTGTGTTTACCTGCTCCTGTAAAACCTGCTTTCTTGAAAGATTTTACACGAACTATGCATGGGTTTTTGAACAGTTGCAATTTAGATGCACTTAAACAGAATAATAGTAAACCTGCTACCTGGGAAAAAAAAAATCTTAGCAGTACGTTCTACTACAAGTTGATGTGTAAGTTCTCTTAGTTCCCCAAAGTCCTTTCATAATATTGAAACAATCTCCAACTGCTCACAACACATCAAACCACAAAACACTTGTAGAGCAACTTTTCCACTTCGATATACAATATTCACTTCTGAAGGGGCAAAAATGCAGGATTAGTTAATCACCTGTCCTTCTCAACTAAAATTAACTAAAAAGCACAGCTGTTTTCTTAAGAGAAATATACGGCTCTAAACCATCCAGGTATCAGAGATCACAGGGTCACTTGAAATGTAAACACTCCTTACACCTGCCACAGGACAGTGTGAGAGTAGCTATTAAATCATCTTAACTCTTGAAAGCTGCTTTTTGGATTTATGCCACAGAAAACTAGTCTACCAAGACGCATACTCTTGACCTCAGATTGTTTCTGGAACAAGACTTCTGTTATGTGTAAACTTCTCTTTGCTATGCCTGTAACTGGTCTGCTAAGAGTAACAGTATATACCCCTTTTCCCTTCAACTGTATCCACTAAGTGTATCCTCTTATCAAGGTGGAAAACGTAACTAAACATTTAAAAAGATAGGTCCTGGTAATATCAAGGCAAATATATTAACTCAGGTTTAAGAACACTTTCCCTAAACATGGTTCTTAACAGAAAATGCCTTTTACAAGATGGCATGAAATACCTCTACCATCACTCTTCTTGCCTTGCTTCCAATTCCTGCCTTGCTGAGTTATTACTCTCATTCATTGCAGCTAAAAGGGTCTGGCATCAAGTTAAGAACATTACGTGCTCTCAAAAATGTTATTTTAAGATGTTATTCCCCTTCCTAGCTCTTCTGTAAACTGGCATTTGTTATTTCAAAGTAAGGCCTTACAGCTTTAGTACAGAACAGTACCTTTATTTAGTACACATAGTCTGCCCACAATTGCAGTTTACCATCTCTACCCATTTCTCTTTTATAGGAAGAGAGTTAACAAAACAAGTAGCCTGTGCCTAACCTTTCTATCCTCAACACTGCCACTCTGGATATGTGCCACACTCTCCCAGCCACCATAAATAGAATGCAGAGCTTGGGAAGCTCTACTTTCCCCTTTAGCATCTGGCCCTCCTTCCAATAATATTTCATCACAAATTCCAGAAAATAGAAGTATCCAATACTGAAAAGACCAAGAAACCTTTTCTTTAGTATCAGTAGCAAAATTATGCCTTCTACAGCATTAAACCAATTAACGGTAGTTTGTACAGGTTTTAAAGTAATTAAATACCACCTGTCTATGCTGGCTTTTAAAGGTTTGGTGCTCACATCATAGCTGAACTGAACTAACTGCTTGCTGCCTCTCCTTGAAAATGAGCACACACACACTTCCAGAAACATTCCAAATTCCTAGAACTCCTTTTCAAGACACCAGAAAAACAAGTTGGAAGACTGATCTGAAACAGTTTCAGGTCTTAAAACACTGACAATACCTAACGCTTGACTACAGGTCTTCCTAAGCCTACTAGGAAACATTCACCCATCAGTAATGAAAAATGGTACCATCCAGAGGTTTTTTACTGCTTGCAGCCAACAATTCCATTTCTCCCCCTGTAAGATTTTTAATACCAGAATTAAAAACAAAACCCAGAAATTCCACATAACTACTTTAATCATAATAGCTTATAAATAATGATCTCATTAACAGAGATATAAATTCACATAAATTTATCCTCTAAAACACCATCAGTCTGAAGAATCTCTTTTGGTGGATCTCAGAGAGGATAACTATGCGAGTCATAAACAACTGTACTTACATACCTTTCTCTTTCATACAGGAAAGGAAAAACTTCTTGTTCTTACTTTAGAACAGTTTCCACTAATAAAAGTTAAAATAATGGCGTGCCTCCCCGTCCTCATTTTACCATTAAAAAAAAAAAGTACTAATTTTCTTACAAGGCACTACAAAATACGTGCAATCACCAATAACAATTTGCACTTCTGTGTGAGAATGTGTGTCTGTATGAAGCTTCAGATATGCAATAATCCTACTGGAATACATTTTTCTTGTCAGATACTTACTACTAGCTATTTATTTAACCTCTGTATAGCCAGCCCTCTCTCACATTGAGACACAAACACTGGGTCACTCCAAAGAGTGAGAGGCAGCCAAAGGTAAGATAAGGCTGCATGGCTAAGAGCAAGGTGAGGACAGTGAGATCTCATCAGCTCCTTTCAACAGCTGTTATGGTGACTCAATCGCTCATGAAACATAGGTCACTTCACCTGAATTTGTTCTTTGGCCATGGGTAAGAGAGGGGTATTTTACACAGTCATACAAGCGCCTAAATTGCCTCCTGCAGCCTGAAGCCCCTGCCTTCCCACCCGGCACCTTGTGTAACTACAGTGAAGCACTCCTGCGGATGTGCTACATGAGAGACTGGGGAAGTGGTCTGGCTGCACGTTCCCATGTCATTCTTCGTTGCTGAGGCATTACAGCTGTTCTTGCTGCTGCCTGGCAAACTACTCCAGCTGAATGCCTGCTTCCTCTTAACCCCTGCCTCCCCACAAAACACACACCTGCTTTTTCTGGGTCATCTTCCAGAGAAAAGCAATGGAAGGAAATAAAGGAGTTGACAGCTTAAACCTGCACTGAAGATTTAACTGCAGAAACAGGCCCAGCAGTGGTTTCACCACAGTTCAACCCTATCTGAATCGGCATTGCTGCAGTCTCCAGCGCTGCACCTCTCTCAGCCTCCTCTTCACGCTTCCTCCGTCTGCTCAGCACGGGCACACATCCATCTGTGTGGCAAATTGGTTCGGGGTGCTCAGCTGCTGAGATCCTTTCTTCTTCTTTTCCTTTGTCAGGACTGTTACATTTTCTGCTGTCTTAACACGCTTAACCAGGCTTACGGTACCGTCAGAGACACAAAAGTGTCAGTACAAGACAGAAAGCAGTAACAGACTGAAGAGAACAGAGCAAGATTACAACCGCAACAGCAACAACTTTAATCACTTTAAACTATCTCTTGTTAGACCGCAGTGTAAGAAAATGCTATGGCAAAGTCTCAGCTAGAAACTGCTGCTATAAAGGCTCTCTGGTGTTCTGAACCAGTAAGAGTCAGTAAATACTATTCAGTGAATCTACAGATAGTCTTCTAACATTTTGCAAATGTTAATTAAGCTTCAGAGCCTTCTAGGTGAAAGGTGAATAAATAAGATAACACTGGATCTCCCTAGCTTTTTTCTTTGGCTTCACTAAATAGCATCCATGAATCTTCATCCCAATCTAAGATACAATTTCTTACTGACTTGAAAAGGAAGTAGAGGAAGTATAAAGTTTTGCTATATGTAACTAACTCGATGCCAGGTTAAATGCAGGATCCCGAGTCAAATAATGAAGACTCACAGGATTCCATAATGCTTTAACTGACTGCAGGTTGTGGAATGTACAGTTCACCATGGAACCAGAAGCATTGTTACCTGTTCAGATTCTCAGTATTTGAAGTGCATGACCACACTCGCAAGGATACTTAACTTTTTATAAAATAAAACAAACATCTCCCTCGTGGCCTCTGTTCCCTGAGTTTTGATTCTGCAGAACTTGACATCATTCATGCTGGGCAATTACCTGCCAACAGCAATCATTTCTTCAAACCTACAATCTCAGAAGCAAGCTTTCACCAGAAAGCTTCATAAGTATTTAAATTTTCAAATATTTTTTTCTGTGACAGATTTGAATAACACTATTTATTAGCATGCACAGAGACAAAAAACAGCGCAGGTCATCTGCTGTTCACTGGTTTTATTCCCAGAATTTCGCGATGGCCATAAAATTCTGATTCCTTTTATCAATACTGGTTGCACTTGAAGGAAAGCAGATCTTTTATCCCAAGGCAAAAAATGCATTTTAAACAAATAGAAAACCACCACAAACTTACTCTCTAGTTCTTCTTTCTCAAAGTTTGTATTTATAGTGGAGCTGATTTTGCCCATATCCACAACAGCTTCTTCATCATGACCCTGAAGAAACAAGACACAAGTTTAAGTTAAAGCTAAGCAGAACTAGTTCTTCTAAATTCCCAAATATATTCTGCAGATCTGAAGCTTTTTGTCAAAGTTTTCTAAAACACATTTTCATCTCTTAGAAACTGAGAAAGAAAATGTCACTGAAAATCTACCCATCCAATTCTTCAAGAAAATGTTACCTTGTATTGAAGGAAAAACAAAGTAAATCAACAAATACGCTAAATACCATGCAATTTCCTTTTGCAATGCTCTTTATTTTATTGTCTCAAGGATCAGGACATACATTTCAGGAGTGCAATGTTCTTTTTAGTTTTACATTCAACAGCAGTGAATCCACTTCAATAAAATAACTGGCAAATTCATAAAAAGTTACATAAGTCAGCATTCACAGATCTTGAACCCATTTGCTCAGGGGATAATTCCCATGTGAGATTTTCCAGCATGAGTACAAAGCTTTTGTGAACCAAAGGTTATATACAAAGGGGTGGCAAAAGAGTTAAGTTACACAACTTGGGGAGTCTCTCCTAGACCAACAGTTTTGGAAAGATCAAAACAACTGTTTCACTCGGGTTTCAACAGACAGTTTGTTAACCAAACCTCTACCTAATTCACACTTTCTACGAACAAAGTTACAAAACAACAGTTACAAGACGATCCGTTCAGATTCCATTACTACTGCAACCATACCACTCAATGCAAAAGCACAGTATTTCAAATAGATAAAGGCTCACGAATGACGCTTATCTCTGAACATGTCCTCTAATCACATTTCAGACGTTTAAACACTGTATTTTACTCTATCTTGACAAAAATAAACCTTAAAATAACTGAGCAGTAGAAATACCTCATCTCAGACTTGACATCAAAACAACATTAAAGTTGCCTTTTCCAAAGATCTGCATTCCTTAGAATACAGTCCATTTCTAACAGCTCACAAATTGCAGCCTCCTAGCAGAACTGGTTCTCCAAAAGAACTGCTGCCTACCCTAAGGGTAATGCTTTACTTTACATCTAACTACTTATAATGACAGGTTAACTGCTACAGAATACCCTCCCTGCTCTTTCTGCTCCCTTGTGGACACATTTTTTTCCTTAAGTCAGATCTATCAATCATGAAGTCAGATACAAAGAGCTGAATCAACAGACTTTATTTTTTTAAAGAAATAAATAGTTTGCCATTGGATCAGTACACCAAACTGACTTTTCTGGTGACCATACGACAGTTAGATCACCACAAATAAATCTGTTTGATCATCGCTTCTGGCAGGAGCCCACTAGTGCATTTACATCGATCCACATGGGATCTGTGGTAATGGTTTCATAAAGAAAAAATGGAAGCCTAAATCAGGAGTCTTCCAGTGACTAGGAACCCCAAGAGGGTTGACATTCACCTAAACTTCGATCTTAGAATTACTCGATAGTGCAATGCTTTATATATATAACAGGCTTGCCATCTCATGGGGAAGTGACAAGGATGAACACCAACACACCTGTGTAACAGCTACAAGCTAAAACATACTGTAGCAACCCTCATTAAAAAAAATTTTTTTTTGAACACGTAACTCCTTAGTCTTAATAAAATAGATATTTATTACAGTGTATTGCGCACACATACACACCAAAAAATCCACATCTTTCTTTGACAATTGAGGAAAGTAGATCAAAGAATATGAAGATGACAAACAGCACATACAGGGAAAAAAAATTTTCAGATGAGGTTCAAAACAAAAAGGTTAAAAGCAGTTAGACCACAAAAAAATAAAAGCAGCTGGCACTACGTAAATAAGCAAGATACAACAGAAAAGAGCAGCACATGGCAGAATAAACCTATAAGAACTAAATGAAGTTCGATCCTGTGCTGTCTCCTTAAGAACAGGGTTTTCATGAAAGGCATTACACAATAACACAACTTTGTCACTACTGCTGCACTGCACAAAAATAGTTTTGCATGCATGTTAGAATAATCAAAACTCCCGCACACTCCAGGCAGCTACAATTTAAAAATTCAGGTGATTAAACCACAATCATGTCTGGCAGGCAAATCTGTGAAAACGTTACAAGGACCTGTTGGCAAAGAAGTGGCAGAAATTTAGAAAATGTCATGATAATAAGATGGGGGGGATGAGCAGCACATTCCTGTCTCCTACAAACCAAAACAAAATTAAAAATCCCTCTAGAAGATGCCTTCATTATGTAATTGACCTCTGTCATCTCTCTGATAACCACTCCGGAGGCAGGGAAAAACACACAGCTGCAAAGTGAGTCTTGGCTCTTATCTTTACTGAAGATGGATTTTCCATTCAGCTTGGGGAAAAAAAAATTTAACACGCTCATCTACCCAACAGCAAAGAGGTCTCTAAGCAGCAGCATGAAAAAGCTTAAGTTACAATCTTTTGAGGCACCAAATAAGTACAGCAAAACATTTAACTGCACTGGTAATGCCATAACACTACCAAGAAGGAGTCAAGCAGACTTTCCAATTTATCTCAGTGACACAGAAATAGAAAATTACACGACTGTAGCACACTCCAGTTCACAGGAACAGATACACACACAAATCCAGCACATTACCAGAAAACTCAAAATGGAGATGGAAAGAGATGAAGTACTAGAAATCCTTTAAATTAAGTGTCTTAGAATATGAGAGAGAAAAAATCCTACTATTAGGAAAACTACTATCAAAACCTCTTCCACAATTAACTTCATGGTTACAGCCACAGACTGATGAAATACCCATGCATAACTCCCCCGCCCCAAGCAGTCCTTTTTAGGACACTTGGAAGCTTGCCAAACACACAGTTTTTTGAGCAATAAAGGAAGACAAAGGTTTTCTCCAAATTATACAAACTACTGCATACTGGTAGAAAATTACACACACATTGCAGAAAATACACATGCAAAGAAAGATTTTTATCTCCCAGTAACATTTTGAAACACTACTTGCTGTATGCCTTATATCATGTTATTAGTATTTATCACCCTTCGCTTTAGTAACAGAGCTGCTTTGCCACCCTTACACATACAGAAGCAGCCTTCAAAACCACATCATGTGCAAGTAGCATGTCTTTTGAGATTAGATTACAGCAAGGCACGCATGCCCTTGCAAACCATTCTATCGCTATCTCCAAGTACTCAGCCTATGCGAATACTCTTCCAAGAATAAACCATTAGCAACCACAAATATCATACATGAAGAAAGGGTATCATTTACAGCCTTTGTTTAGAAAAAACGAATGATTATGTTGAAATGATGATTCTTGTAAGGCCAATAGCAAATACCACCATAAGATACTTTTGCCTTAGGTCAGGTAAAAAATCCAAAATATTCAAATGCACTATAAAACTAATTCCAAGATACAACCTTTTCCTTGCTAAAAATAAAGCCTGTAGGGCATAGGTTTCCAGTAATTATAGAAGCTCTACCACGTCAGCTTAAGGCACAAAAGTTAGAGAAAACCATTTCAGTTGCTGAATCAAAACACATTCTCATTCCAGTTCTCTCTTTTTCTTCCTGAACCTTTTACATATATAAACAAAGAGCGATGGTATTGTTTAAAACTTGTCTACTCCCCTTTTTTAGGCACAGAGAATTTCATCTTAGAGCAAGCATTCCTCTGCAGTTTACCATCCATTTCATATGAAGCTTTTTGTACAATAATCCCAATGTCCAAAAAACAGCTGATGAAGATGAGTCAAAACAAAATTTAATACTAACTTGGAACGTATGTAACTTCTCTTCTCATTCAAGAGACAGAACAATTAAGAATGGAAAAAAACCAACACAGCAGCAACCAAGGTGCTGCAAAGAGAGATTAAACTTTCACCTTTGGTTTGCTTTTTCAAAAGGAAATGGTCATTTATAAAAACAGAACAAATCCAGAGTACTTCAAAGAAAAAAAAAAAAAATCTTGGTACGTTATGTTAAAATACACTAAGTACGCTTCTTCCTAACACCAAACTTGTGGATACTCACAAACATAGTGTAGAAAATATCTTCCAGCAAAACCTTCGTATTCAGCCAGAGGTGCCTACATATACTACAACACGTCTTCACAGCCTTCCAACTTTGCCCAGCACGAAAACAAAACCCCTTTTCAACTGTTGCAGACCAGACAAGACTTTGAAATACTCTTTGCTCTAGCAGAATCCCAGTAGCATTCCTCTTGCCACCTCTGATTTACAAATGTATTTTCTCAGCCCAGGAGAAAAGAGTAATTCCCCTTTCACTGGTAACAAACAACTATTCAGAAATTGTTTACACCTTCGTTCTTCATCTTCCCAAGCATTTGTCTTCATTTAGTACGCTACACTTTTCACATCTAAAACATTAATGCTACATGTCTTTTAAACGTAGTACTTAAAAAAAATCAATCGTAACTCATTAAGGAAAGCACTCCAGTTTGCAAGAATTAAGTTGTCAATCGCCAGCAGCATGCAGTAGCTACTGTCTAGTGGACTGGCACAAATATGACGCACAGAATATTAAATCTACAGGAAAACTTTCCACTGTCATCTGTAAAAGCTCTTCTCACCATGCAACTCGCCTAACCTTACGCAGTCACGTACACACGACAGCCTTCAGATGGGCACACTGCCGAAACGCATTACTGAATAACCACTTCCACGAGATACAACTTGCTAGCAGCACATTTTAAGGTACTTGTAATGTAGTTCAATTCAATTCATTCTGGTGATAGACAGTGATCACAGAAATGGCCGATACAGTCAATTGCAGACCTCTGAAATGTAAGAGTAATACAGTAATTGCATTAAGAATAATTTTAGCTCAATATTTAAAACCATTGAGTCAATGTTCATGTGCTCCATTCACATCCTCTCAGCCCAAAGTTCCTCCCCAACAGAGCTGGGGAACTACCTGCAGCACCAGAAGAGACAGCACTAATGCTCATGGGTAATAGATAGGGGGTACAAGAGAGGACACAAACAAACAAAAAACTCACCACATCACCCCCCCAAAAAAAAAAATTACATTACCACTTTCATGCTACAAAGAACCTTCACTGCAGCATTTAGTCAACTAGATGTAAATGGGGGGGGACGACACACGGGATGCCCTGCTTCGGCGGGGGGGTTGGACTAGATGACCCACAGAGGTCCCTTCCAACCCCTACTATTCTGTGATTCTGTGATTCTGTGACACCAAAACAAAACGAAAAACCACAAGGGGGTGGGGGACAGTTTTTTCCCTTAAACTCTTGGCCAGGGACAGATGTCTAAAACTTCTAATTTTGATACCACTACTACAACGGCCTACACCATTACAGTGAACATCCATATTGCTCCATGACTATAGCCATATCCCATCCTCTCTAGCTTCCCCCCCTTCCCACAAGAACCCATGGATACATCTCTGCCTCTCTAGAGACACCAGATCTGGCAGACAGGGTTTAGCTCTTAGGTTGGAATGAGGCACCAACAAACCATTCCTCTCAAAACACGAGCACACACTGCTTACAGATCCAACGGTTAAACCTATATAGCATACTGCTGTAAATTTACGTACCAAGATCAACAGCACACGAGATTTTTTGCGCAGTGCATTTTGCTCTTTATTCTTTTGTCACCAGTACATAGGAGCAGTTAAGCTGGATCAAACCATCCATTCAACCCAGCATGCTGTCCTCAAGAAGACACAACAGTAGAGGCCTACAGCAACTTTCCAATAAATTTAAAAATCAGCGCAAACAGAATCCAAAATGGTGGCCTAACCTACACCTAAGAAGCACAGTCAAAGCAGTACCGTTGTTGTATCATCAGCCCTCACTTTGTTGGATTTGCAATCAGAAGACAGATATTCATAGCCATCAAGGTTCCAATAACAAAGAAGTAAAATCAAAACACAAATTACCAATATTATTCTGCTTCAAAAGTAAAAGTTTAGCTGGAAAAAGAAATTAAAACCTTCATTTTGACCACACATCTCAATGATGACTAAAGAGGAACTAGAAAACCTGGTTTTGCAGCTGTTTTCCAGGTATGTGTACATATATACGTAAAATATTTTAAAACTTTATACATATACTAACTCATGTGTTTTGTCACACAGCTACTGAAATACATTGTTCAGAATAACTAAACACCAGTAGGGCAACTCAGAATTCATTCACAGCAGCATTTCCTAAGTGGTTTGTTTCAGAAGCCTGGATTTCTGTTCCAAGCACACATAATACTCTATGTAGTCAGGAAGTGAAATACATCTCTGATTACATCTCTCTATCCATTCACTCTCCCAGAACTGCAAGCTAAGAAGCACAAACGGGGGCAGGGGCAATTAGACAAGGGCAGTATCTCCTCCTGATTTTGTAGGACTAGAAGTCTACCAGCCACAGCAACCCTGGAAGTGATAAGAAAATAGCAAATTAGTATATTTGTTAATGCCATCTGTGACTATTGTATGCAGAGTTCAGTGACAATCATTCTACCTCTGACAATCATCAGCACTAGGTCTACACTATAGCTCTCCTACTGCTACCCATACAGAGCATCACGTAGCCTTAGTTAAGAGTGAGTAAACTAGGAAGGGCTTTTTGACATGGTTCACCTGCAGGAACTACTAACAGCAGCACTTGGTAACTTCTCAATATATTGTTCTAATTCTGTCAGACTGATTCTGCTTTTAAACCAGAGGTAAGATGAGCCTATGGTGGGCAGGAGGGCAGGCATCTCTGGTTGCTGCCTCCTTGAAGTGCAGCCAGGGTATGAAAAAATCAGAGCTCTTTCTAAACAGTAGTAAGTGAAGGTATTACTCGGCCTATTAAAAAGTCTTTAGCTGTACTGCAAAGCAGTTCTATAAATGTATTTGAAGCAAGTTCTTTAGGGACAGTGTTGGTCTACACAGCAATACTGTATCTTCAGAAGCTGTCAAAGTAATGAAACACTACCAGTTCTAAATCAAGCACATCAGCCTAACAGCCAAGGGGAAAATGTACGAAGTACAAACGGGCCCTGTCTCATTTTGTCGGCACACAATTTTTAGCTGGCCTTGCCCTCTAAATATATATAGGTGAGAGTAAAATTAATCATAATTCACAAACGGAACACCTGTCAAGTTTAAAACAGGAAGCATACCATACTGATGGGTTCCCCCTTGGTTGTATTTGCTACGGTCTCCTCTGCACAGGAACAGCTGCTTTCCAGATTTTGGGTTGGGGTTTTTTTTCTACTATCATAGCAGTGGGTATTGCTCAAGCACTATAGGAAAGACTCCAGCACAGCTCAATGGTTTTGGCATTGGTTATACAGTTGCTATTTTACACAACTACCCTCACACGTAAACGAAGATCCCTCCTAATCAAAGCAATACGCAGAGCCGCTCAGGAAGGTCTGACGCTTAGATTTCAGTAAGACAATAGCTATATCGAAAGAAGATAGGAATACTTAGAGAAGTTCTTCTAGCCTGCTAATCCTCCAATTAACTGCTCAGCTTACCCTGCTAAATACATCTGACCAATCTGCTTCTAGATGACTTACAAAAAACACAGGAGCTATACAAACCTTTGGTTTGGACAACTACGTCCAACAGACATCAGACTTCAGTAAGACTCTCCAGAAGTTGCATTTTACTTTACTGTCCTCCACATACAGTTTTCAAAAGACATGTGTGTGCGCTACTTAAAACAAACAAACAAAAACCCACACACACAACAACAACAAAGAAAAGCCCACCACACTTTTGGAAAAAAAAAACCAAACAGTTCTAAACACGTTAATGTTTTGCTTCCTGCACAGCTGAACATCTAATGTTTATAAAAAATTTTATTTCAGTGGTTCTAGCAGGCATTACTCTGGCCACTGTCACGCTGACTGCCACAACCTGCAAGACAAGCCATGTTCCAGACAAATCAGACACTAGCCTTTGGGCAGTAAACACAAAGTGCTTGTCAGAAAGAGAAGTAGGTGTGAACACTGACAAAAGACTTGTCACAGTACTGACTGACCATCAACTATAACACACCGAAATAATTTGTGAAAAAAAAAAATTAAAAAAAAAAGGCATGACTACAGGGTATCAGAATATTAAAATTAGAAGCCAGTTTGAATTCAACTCGAGTGTTCTGCAAGCCAGAAAATTTACCACCACTATGCATAGTTAGCAAATAATGTCACCAATCCAACATATCAAGTTGCATATCTAACATTATAGGAGTGGTTTTACAAAGTTGCATTTTATCACTGCCTCACAGCACTAAATTTCATTCAAAAAAATTCATAGCTCCATTCACCTAAAATTTCTAAAATTACAGTTTAAAAAAAAGGGCTGTTTCCCAATAGCCAAACTGAAGTATCTCTAAATTTTAAGGCATAACACGGTAATTAGTGAAGTATAAAGTTTATACCTTGCACTGCCTCATTCAAAATCGAACAGTCCTGTGACTATGGTATACGGAGTAGTAGAATCTTTGTAACTAGTCACCTCAGAGCTTTGCCCAGTCTTCTAGGCATATGCATGCTTGGTGAAGTTCTGTGTCCAGAGCTGAAGGGAGCACCACAATGAAAACCAAAAATCGATCACTGTACTACAGAGACCCTAACAAACAAGACCACTGCAGACAGATCCATTTTAACATGTCTAAATGAAACTCTTACTTCTGGCTCACAAAAGGAAATAGAAAATTTAGTGGTCATCTTATAAAAATTTGTATAAAAATTCAGGGGTCTTTAAAGCTTTACAGTTTAGGAAAATTCCATCCCAAAGATTTTTGTTTCCAGGGAACTCTAAAGCAGCAATCCCTGTTGCACACTGCATTGCAGTTAAACGGCAGTGATACGGACTACCCGCACAAGAACTAAGCAGTAGCTTGTAACACTAACTGGAGCTCACTGCTTCCCTGTAGAAATCCCCACAAACAGATTTTTGTAGCTATGCCACCGAAGTCTGAAGAAAACACTATCTCCATGAACATTTTACCTCAATTACACAGGTCATTAAGCATACTTTTTTTTTTTTTTGTCAAAAGTAACAATCAATAGGCTATTTCAAGATTCTTTACCAGGAATTCCCTGCTAGACTTGCACAGAACTACTCAAAGCCACAGCTGATAACCGTCCAGTTAAGGAAAGCTGACTCAAAATAATGCAAAAGAAAAAAGCAGCAAACCACAACACCCACACTCAACCACTCTCAAAATCTGGTAGTATACTCTCATGATTGTAAAAAGCACATTTTCTTTCTGAATTAAGCCAGTTACTATGATTAAGCAATTCTAACTACACCGCAACTATCTTCCCTAATACCAAAACCTCTACTTCAAGAACTATTTCTATCACCAGCTCTTTCAAAAATTTCTTCCACAACCAGTGAGTCTACAGCAGCACACCATTCTGAGACACAGCTGCTAAACATCACTTGCATCGAAGCACTTGCAAACGACTATTAAGTTATACAGCTGCTAGTTACATACAGGTTGCATTTTCTTCCCTGGACGGCCTTCTTCCATGCTGGTGCGCAGAAGCGGAGAATGCCCTTGTACGAGACCCTGCCACGAACCTGTCAGGAGATCAGCGACTGCGCATACATGACTGCTTCAGCTCACCCTGCCCGACAGCGATGCGCTCCGGGAAATCGCTCCCCAGCCCCGCAGCCAATCCCTGCCCCGTGGGCTTCTCGTCTCCCAGGCCCCCATCGCAGCTACCGTCGGGTCGCACCGCAGCGGAACGGGCAAGACGGCGTGCCTCCCACTCCGGCTCAGAGAATACCAAAAAAGGAACTGAAGCAGAGCTTGAGACTTAACATTTTCTGCAGCAACAGCAGCTAAGAACAGCTCCAAGGTCATGTTTTTGCTCTGATCCAAGACTTCATCAGCACTACAAAATGAAAGCACATTTGTACCTCAGGTCCCAGAACACAACCACCCAGAAGTCAGACATCTGCTAAGTGTGTTTACAGATGTATTATCGACCTTTCACTGAATATTCATTCCAAAGCGGGGCAGGGGGGGGTGTTTTCTTTTTTGGTGGGGGTTTTTTTGATTTTTTTTTTTCTCTTACATAAGCCATATATTCTCATTCAGCACAATAAACCAGGGCTGACTAAAAAAAGTCCTCGTTTATTTTTTTCCTGTTGAAGAGGTAAAAAAGCCATTTTGTTAGCTGCAATTAATTTTATGTCTCCTTCCAGAGTGAGATGGCTCTCTGTTTCAGGTATGATATGAATAACTATACTTTTTCCTTGCTTAAGCCACCCTTAGAAACATGCTACCTCCACTCAGGCAGATCAAATTCAGAGCTTCATTTCACTCTTCCCCTCTTCATCACTGACATACCTTAATCACCTTGTCCCATCATATAACACGCAGGAAAACTGGCTCTTTAAGGCATCATCCACAACAATCTTCATGACATGACACTGCCTTCCTTGTTCTCTTTTCTTCTTTTATTCTTACTTCTTGGATGGTGAGAACTCCAGTAATGAAGCTGGACTGCTGCCACCCCAACCAACGAACAACTTGGACAAAACGTAACAAATAACACACTGTTCATAAACTTGGGGCAAATACCACCAGCCAAAGAAACATACTGTGCAATTGTGAAAATGGTCTGTATCACCTAGTAGGTAAGAAAGCAGAAGACCACATTCAGTTCCCCTCCCTGCCTTTCTCAGCCCAGAAAATTCTCTGACCATAGACTAATACAAGTATTTTCAGATAGTGCTGACAAGAGAGTTTAAAAGTGGTTTGTTTCCACTCTGTAAACAGATGTTCACTCTAACATGTGTGTGAATCTTTTCACTTCCAAGCTATTGAAGGCCTCTCTCCTGCTATATGTGAATGATGATAAACTACATGATTCATATTAGGAAGAATAAAGTTTAACAAAAATATCAGATACCCTAACTCTTAGTGATCTCTTCTCAACTGAGCATCCTACACCAAAGCTACTCTTTTCCTAATGCAGAGCACAGATTCATACAGTTCTTCAGCTACTCAGATGAATATTGAAACAGTCATGCTGAATCGTGTTCGGGTGACTCTCCCACACTTTAATGCAGTCCTCCTTAGCAGAAATTCGTACTAGCAGTACTTCGATTTCTAAAAGTACAAAAGTCGGTTTGTTTGGTTTTTGGGGGGGGTGGGGTGTGAAGGGGGAAGAGGCTGTCTATTCCTCTGGGACAGAATGGGGGGGAGGGCTGACAAACACAACCTTTTTTTTTATTTTTATGTTTTCGAAAGAATACATACTCGGTTTGGCAACTTAAAAAAAAAAGCCCTCCCTGAAGCAGTTTACTGAAATCTTCTTTCTAGTCTACAGTCAACCAATCCCTGGTTAATAGTCACTCAGCCTTGGAACAAAAAAAAACAACACTCAGAAGCTTTATTCATTTAAGAAAAAACAAACAGAAAGCAAGAACGTGCCATGTAGAGCCAAGCTGAAAAAAATCCAACATTTTAAAATATAAACAAGTTTTTTTTCAAACAGATGAAAGTTTTTGTCTTTTAAGTCCCAAATCAAAATACTTTGTGGATAAATGTCTGCTCTTACCTAAGAGCAAATACCAGGGAAAAAGCTTCTCAACACATGGAGAACTCCACAGCAACTTCAAACTGAAACTGTCTCAATGTGCTTAACTACAGAAGTATTCTAAAACAAACCGTAGGCAAATACATTCACAATTATCACATCCTTGAACATATTCAGTGACAACACTGTGAGAACTCAGAGCAAAACTATTTGTGCTGCAGCAGTATTTCAACCATATGCTTGACGCTGCAAAAGAATCTTAATGAAGTGTATGAGTGTATGTTTTTAAAACAAAAGGAAACAGAAGCAGCTATCATGAAACATAACACTTTTTCCATTAATCTTTCCTCCTTAATTTTCAGTTTTATAGCCCTTCAAGTTCCACTTATTTGAGCTTACCTCCAGCTATAAAAGCACTTTTTGGAAAGACACGTCCAAAGAAAATCTATGTTCTCCAGACAGAAAGATTTCATCTGAGGTCTTTGCTAAACTTTTAATCTTTCCACATGCAATATACAGGCCACGATTTTCTTGTAGAAGTACAGGCTTCCATTAAAAATTCCCTCAAATTCAACTACATTGTACTAATTCCAAAATCTCTGTTAACCATGGGGTGGAATGCAGAAGTGTTTACAATGGATTAGAAGAGTAATTTTCATTTCTCTTGTTATGACTAGTTTCTGGATCAATTTGTAAAAATATCCCCTACCACATCTTACAGCAACACTAGCATTAACACCCCAGCAAGCTGTATAAATTACTACAGCCATAAGCTCTTCTTTCCTGTCCTCCAAATTTTCCTCTTAAAGTGAGAGAACAATTACAATCCCAGTCTATCACGAAGTGGCAGTGAACTGCCTGACTGCGGGGTCTGCAGAGTCTCTGGCAAGCAGAGCTGTGCTTATTCTGCCATTCCGAGATGGCAGGGCACAAGCACGTTTTTATTCAAAGTCGCTGCGGTGGGCAGGACCATCACCTCAGCAGACCCAGCCAGACAGGAACACAAGGAAACTGAGTGCTCGTTTGCTTGCCAAGAGGCCATGCTGACATACTCACCCATCTGGCCCTGTAAATTGGCAGACCTGGTATGAGGTTTCTATTGATACCTTAAAATCCTGGGAAGGGGAGAACTGTTAAGAGTTACATCCATAAGCCAAGCTCAACACTTTGTTATATGAACAAATAATACAAACAAACGTGGTGATATTTTCTATCATTGCAGCCCAAAAAACCCAACCCAGTTCACTGCTACCTTTCTTCACATATCTGAAAGGACAGCATCTGTCAAACTCTAAGCAGTTCTCTTTAGAAATTAATACAAAGAACAAGAAATACTCACCCATGAAATAACAAGACAATACTTCTAAATGAAGCTTTATTTTGGATTGGGGAAGTGGGGTGTGGCTCAGGTCACGGGGGAGTCATGAGAGGAGGCAAGGTGCAAGGGGATTAAAATGATGCAGGGGCAAGTTGTTCGACTTGTCTACTGTTGGTATGTCAAATACCAATACAGATGGCTTTGTTCAGCTTCTTATTAAATGGGAACTTACTAACTCATATCAAGAAGAACAGCTTCCTATGAGTTTTCTATTACACATAAATTAAATACAAACTATTCCTCTAAGGAGATGTTATACCCTCAGCAAGGGAACACAGAAGCCTTCATAGGCAGTGGCTCATCATTTAATGAATTAAAACTATTCATAAAACCCAAGAGTTTAACTGCCTACAAGTATTTTTCAGAATAAAATTTCCACATAACAGCTAGATCCCAAGACGTACATCTGCATAGCATGCTTCAGCTTGCTTCAGTTTGTGTCGGCACGTACAACGCAAGTGAGTGCTTCCAAAAAAAGCAAAAGGAGGAAAAAAAAAAAGGAGGACGGAAAAAAGACAGATGTGTTCTGCGCAGATATTCTCTGGTGTATTGCCCCAGTAGTGGACTCCTGGGTTTCTCAGCATATTGCAGGACAGCTGTCATAAACCACTGGGATTCTGAGAGCGAGCATGGGGCCGATCGTTAGTTTGAGTCCTCCTGACATTACACAATTAACACATCATTCCGAGAGCTGCATACTTATTCTCTAGAGAGGACAGCACTGAAACCTGTAATCTCAATCGGCATCAACAGCGAGATTACTATGTACCCTGTTACACAGACTACTTCATCAATCACCCTGCAGTCCTCATTTGGATGCATTGATGAAGCGGAAAAACAAGTGTCGCATGTAAACTTTTAGAGTACTTATTTCTGGACTCAAAAGCATCCCTCGGTAAGAGACAGATGGAACAAATTCACCATGTCCAAACAGAACACTACCAAGAATTTCACTTCAACATGTACAAGCATGCGGTCACCGTGCAAATGGCATCGAGACAGGTTAGGGGGGTTTTGAGCTATTTGATTTGATGGGTGGGGTGGGTTTTCTTTGGTGGGGTGTTGGTTTTGTTTTGTTTTTTGGTTTTTTTTTTTTTGCGAAAGAATGAGGATGCTTTCTAAATTGAAAGCTGCTTACTTTACAACTACAACATGTCCATCATCGCTTGCTTTTACATAAATTCATCTCCAGGCATTCTGGCAGCATTTTTGAGAGATTCTAGCTTTTCTTCATCCTAAAGAAGTCTTAGATGACTATGCAAGTTCACAAGAACTATAAACCAGGGCTATTTCAACACTATTAAGGCCATATATTTAAACACTCTACAATTACTTGTACAAATATCAAACATTCATCTCCTAGAATAACAGACGGCACAGAAGCGAACAACTGATGAATCCAGATATGAAGCAGCATAGTATGGGCCAGATAATTTTATTTGGTTTGTACTGACATGATTTGAAGTATGGGCACACAAAAGCCTTTCCCTGACAGCTGATCCTCAGGAGGGGAAAAAAAAAAAAAAAAAAAGGGGGGAAGGGGTTGTTTTTAGGACAAAACAAAAAAAAAAAAAAAAAAAAGTGGGGGGAAGGGGTTTTGTA